AACATAGCAGTTTGTTCTGTCCGGCTTCTAGGTGGAGCCCCAAACTACTATCCCAACAGCTTCAGTGCTCCTGACATCCAGCCTCAGTTTGTGGAGTCCAAGTTCAAGGTGTCTCCAGATGTGAGCCGTTACAACAGTGCAGATGAGGACAATGTCACACAGGTGAAGAAAACATCCCGATATTACAAGCACGTTTTCTTGGGCAATGCTTTCAGTTGTCAGGATTTCCGGTTTACACAACTGACTGGTGCCATTTCACCACAGGGTGGTTCTTTTTCTTTCCTAATTTCCTGTGCGCTTCCTGCCCTGTACCAAACAAACAGACACAGCTAACAGCTTCAGAGCCCAACATAATAAATCAGTGTTATGTCTAACAGGTTCCTCCTCTTTCACAAGTCACCATGGACATAAGTCAATATGGTTTTCAAATAAAGACTGAAATGAAAATCAAGAATAATGAATCATTGTAGAGCAAAACAAGTGAACTAATCTACACATGAACTGTATGTGTGTTACTACTCTAAGGTAACCAGGATCGTGACAAGGCTAGAGATGATTGGCTTTATTTTAGAAGCTATCCTGTCTGTATGAAGTGGACTGAAATGGATATCATTTTGATTCAATCTACTCTTACCAGGTTTTTAATGTGTGTTTTCAAATTTGAATTGCAGGTTCGGACCTTCTACACCGAGGTGTTGAATGAGGAGGAGCGGGAGAGGCTTTGCAGTAACATGGCTGGTGCCCTGAAAGGAGCCCAGCTCTTCATCCAAAAGCGCATGGTGAGTCCTCACTGCATTATTATCCACACAGTCTCTGTCACCTGGACATGCTTGATGCTGTCATGCTTGGTTATTAAACAGGTGAATGCACTGACTTGTTTTTTTAACAAGTTGTCAGGGAGAAGTGATTTGTACTGATCCTGACTTCTACTATGATTGCAGAATGATATGAATGAGTCTGAGGGCTTCTTAATGGTTGATTTGCTAACTTTTACATAAAGACTTTTAAGTCATCTTTTTTGTGCATACATTTTCTCAGTGATGTCAGATACCATGGATTATTCAGGTTCATTAAGAATCTGAAGGCCCTTACTCATCACTGCACCTGGCACTATATGCTTGTGTCAGCTTCCCTGCATTGTCATGTTGACTAAATCACTGGCATTTCCTGGTTTATGAGCTATTTCTTAACTTTCTTCCTTCTTATGTATGTCATTTTGTTCATTTGAATAATGCTGGAAGCTACACTCCTCACCCTGTTTTTCATATCTGTCTCCAAAGTGCCTCTTTACATGAGAATACAGGAGTTATAGGTAGGCTGCCCTATTTGGCTTAGGGCGCACTCACACGAGCAAAGTTGTCCCGTACTGTGCTTAAGCACGGTTGCCCCCCCTTCCCATTACCCCGCTGGCCTGCTCTCACACTGCTCCAGGACTAACCGGGCCCGAGCACGGCTACCTCTTGCACATAAGGTCGTAATACAACACATGCATGGCTTTACTTAATAATGAAGCGTGCTCAGGGTACAAGACAGGCTTAATTTTAATTAATTAATATTTATAATAATAAACATGAATAAATAAATAAATAATTAAATAAGTCAAATCACAATAAGGTATTCTATCTTCCAAAAGAATCATCATATCTGGACCGTTTGACAAAAGACATTTGATCAGACTCTGATTGTTAGAAGTATAAAGAACATCTTTTTCAGGGCCTGAATATCATATTATCTGTTTTCTCCTGCAGGTTGAGAACTTGAAGGCTGTCCATCCAGACTATGGAAACCGGGTTCAGAATCTTCTCAACAAGTTCAATGATGAGGCCCAGAAGGTAAATAGTAACTGTCTGATTGATTCTTGGCGAGTAGTTTTGATATGTTTATAAAACTTGAAGCAAACATTCAGGCAGGAATCTGAATGACTGAGGGGATTCCCTGGGCGCTGTTTCTTAAGTGTCATCATGACTTTGACATTTTGGACTTCCCAGAGGAAGACTAAAACTTTTGGAAGTGTCCTGACTATTGTTTTCAGCTATTCTAGCAGGTCCACATTTAAATTTAATGGTTTTCCTCAACAGCTGTTCAGTGGGGAGCAAATGTTTGCATATGAATGGATTTTTTTACTTCATTTTATCAGAGCAGTTGATGAATTATTTACTGTCGGCATAGAAAATTAAAACATTGCATAGAAAAAAAAAAGGTTTCTGACATGAATGATCTACCCTAGCTTAAAATATCAAGGCAACTATCGTAGGGCTGCTTGATTATGGCAAAAATCATAATCACGATAAATAAATAAAAAATAATGATAATAAAAAAAAAAATATATATATATATATATATATATATATATAAAATTTGTGATTCTGATTCAGTGTTAAGGCCAGCAGAGAAGGCCTTACTGTCACTGACTGCCATCCTCTGACAAGGACTGACATGGGGCGGCTGTGGCTCAGATGTAGAGTTGGCCGTCTCTCAACTGGAAGGTTGAGGGTTCGATCCCCAGCTCCTGCAGCAACATCTCTGATGTGTCCTTGGGCAGGACACTTAACCCTGAATTGCTCCTGCTGCTTCGTGTGTGGTGTATGAATGTGTGTGAATGGGATTAGGTACTTCTGATGATCACTTGACATAGCAGCCTCTGACATCAGTGTGTGAATGTGTGGGTGTGACATGCAGTGTAAAAGCACTTTGTGTAGTCAGAAGACTAGAAAAAAGTGCTATACAAGTCAATTTACCATTTTCAGTCTTCAGTATTTGAGCTCATATTGTATACAGATGTTTATAGATCAAGGATAACATTCAGCCTGCTCACGAGGACAAGGATGTTAAACAGAAATGAAAGTTATTCCATGACAGACATTGGGCACATTAATTGTCGGAACATTTGGATATACTGTATATATTTTTTTGTGTGTCTGGTGGCAACATTTCGTAATGCAGATTTATTAATGTTGTCGTAAACAGCTGTCTGCAGATAACGTTTTCTGCATCTGTGTGTACAGTTGTACCAACTCTCTCTCTCTCTCTCTCTCTTTCACTTCCACTCTCTTAGAACACACCCGTGCATGTCTACAGCCGTCCAGGAGTCTCGGCCGTCGCCGCATCCTCCAAGATGTGATGCCTTAAATTTCCAGAAGGGGCAGCACCCTCATGTATCACAGAGCAAATGCACTTCTTGATTAACAACTGCTACTAAGAGTAACGAGATTGGACTAAACAATTAATATAATGACGAGACTGAAACACCGACTTGTAATGTGAGGGTTGTGTTTTTTTTTTTGTTTTTTTTCATTCAGTCCATCCAAACAGTTGATTTTCCTCAAAATCCTCAAAGCTTTCAATATTCAGCAGATTCTTTATCTCTGTCATTTGTCTTGATTGAACACTAATTTAAAAAACAGATGAAGTTGTTTAGTTGTTATTTTCTTTACAGACTGAAACAAAGACCACTATGGTAACTAATGTTAACTAGATCGAGTACAGCATGACGAAATGGAGGGCTTGCCTTTGACCAAATATGGCCTCAATGCTAATGTTTGTTTGTTTTTAAATATAGGTGTGATTGAAGTTTCAAGTTCAACCTCAGCTTCTTCCATGTACCAGGATGAGTGATTATTTCTTAGGTTATGTTTGTATGTTGGATTGATTCATCTCTCTCCAAAAAAAAATCCAAATCAGCTATTCTGTTAGTCTTCTTTTAACATTCACATGTGATTCAATGTGTGACATATTCAGCATTAATCTCCGATCAGGTTGTAAAATACATTGATTTTTTTATGTAGTGTTGGCACTACTTCTTTGCAAGAAGCAGTATTTTTGTTTTTCACTGCAGGCAATCATAAGCGTTGGCTTGTTTTCCTCACGATTGACTGAACCTCAAAAATCATTGCGTTCTTCATGAGAAGAACTTTCAAACTGAAATGATTTTTCAGTTTGATCTGGAGGTGTTTGTGGGCGCGTGCATGTCAGTAATGCAGTTTACAAAAAGGACACAATTACTTTCACTTCATCAAAAAGTCGATAGTGCCTTTTTGTACTAAATACAAATATAAATAAATTAACCTGAAACTCAAAAATCATTGATTAACTTCTCTTTAGTGGAAAAGAGAAACTTTGTTGATTTATATCGTGGTCTATCAGTTAACGTAGGGTTAATGTGGCTAAGTAGCATTAAAAAAACAGCAACTACATCCTCATCCGAATCAAAAAACACGACCACTAATTCCCTCCTATTCTGGTTTTCTTTCAGACTGACTAGAAATGTAGTTTAGGGCTTTCATGTTTGTCCATTCTATGCAGAGAAAAAGAGCCTCGACTAAATGCACAGTTTATTGTGTCACTGTGTAATATACACTGTATGACCTGTTGTGTGTTTGCTAACTCTTCAAAGTGTAAAAAATATATTTTATATGAATGTTTAAGATCAGATTTGTATTTAGTGCCTGTATTAAATCGAAGCTTAACAGCAGCTTTCATGTCTCGTTCTTTTGTTTGAAGACATCTTTGTTTTCTTCAACGCTGTATGAGAAGAGAAAACTAAAATGCCAGTTAATCTCATCTAGCTCATCTATAGTAAGTTGCCATTTCAGTTTTTAAAGTTGCTTAGAGTTCTCTCAATGCCAACCAAAACACAAATTAATAAACCATAAGACCTTATTTAGTTCTGATATTTAAGGGATTACGGAGTTGACGTGTTATGGTTGAGACACCTGATAGCATCACTTAATGAATTTCTAAAAAAAATAGAAAGCTTAACGATACTTAAATGTCATCCCCCTTTACACCCGTTGTATCAGTAGGTTTTGTAGTTTTAAGATTTTGTATGATTTTGACACATTTTTAAATAGTTTAAAGTTTTCAATTTTTGTCTTGGACAAGGGTGTTTTCTGTCAAAGGGCAGGTTTAGACTTAAAAAGAAAAGAAATCAGAACCAAAATTAGGTATTTCAAATTGGTTTCATATATAAAAATCTCTAAAAAAATAGATTTTCATAATAAGTGTATTTGTAAGTGATATTTTTAATCTTGTTTTCCTGGGACATGATTTTTCCCAATTCTCAAGAATGGGTGTTATTCAAAGTTTAAGAAGAAGCTAATCTTGCATACCCATTGTGGTCAGGTTGGTTTTGCCTCATTGGCTGGTATCAGGTTGAAAAGCAGCCTGTGCTGTGCTTACCCTCAAAGGAGCACACCAACACTCACAGCGACACGATCATAGTGTGTGTACACCCTCCTGCAGCCTGCACTCCAAACCTACAGATAAGACGACTGAGATGAATCCTGAAGATCCTCTACTGCAGGGAAGAGGATATGAAGGATATCCAGGACAGCCTAGATATCCAGGACAGCCTTTAGTGGTTCAGTCCACCACTGTGAACATCGTCACTGAGCCCCCCGAAGACTACATCATCTGGTCCTTCTTCTCCTTCGTCTACTCGAACCCCTTCTGCCTCGGACTGGTGGCTCTCATCTACTCCATCAAGGTCAGTTTAAAAACATCAGTTAAGACTCACTGATGAACAAAATAACTCGGTCTTTGACATTGAAAAAGCATAAAATGTTCATGAACAATACCAGGAGAAGAATTTTCCTGTGGTTTTTGCAGAAAACTTGAGTGAAGTTCTTAAATTTCAAAAACATGTAAAAGTATTGTTAAAAGCTTCGCTTTATTTGAAGGGTCTTTTTGGAGATTTTTTCAATTTGAAATTCCAAACTATCAGTGAGTAAGAAAAAAAAGACTCATCATTGAAAGGATGACAGGTTTGAGATGAAGACCATTTTCGCTTCATTATACAATCATTCAATCATCCGTAAATATTTGCATTATCTTGACAAAGATGTAAAAAATAAACGTGTTCAACTTTGTTTTTTTCTTGAAGATAAACAATTTACTGAACATAATGAGAGGTGCTTCTGTCATTTCAGTCCAGAGATCGGAAGATGGTTGGTGATCTGGAGGGGGCTCGACATTATGGAGGAACCGCCCGCACCTTCAACATTATATCTTCTATTCTGATTGGCATAGGGGTCCTAATCTCCATTACTTTGATCATTGTGATCATTGTGAACAGATAATCTTCATTCTCATTATGGTTATGGTTATTATGGAAACTGATGGAAAATGAACTGTAAAATCATTTTGGTTGACTGAAACTAAAACTACAAAAAAACTATAACTTGCCTACCTTTTAACCACTTATGAACCAATACGCAGTCTGCGATCCTCTGGCAGAGCCCTACCGGCTGTTCCAGGCTAAAAACTAAAGGGGACAGGGCCTTTGCTGTCAGAGCCCCCAGACTTTGGAACAGCCTGCCAGAGGAGATCAGACTTGCAGAGTCAGTCCCTTGTTTTACATCTCTACTCAAGACATTCTTTTATAAAAATGCTTTTACTCTGTGATATCGTTAATTGTTTTTATTTTTCATTTTATTAGTCTGATTTTGTTGTCTGCTTGTTTACGCTCTGCCTGTTGCTTTAATTGTCTCTGCTTTTATTTTCTGTTGCAAAGCACTTTGCTACTTGTATAGAAAAGTGCTATACAAATAAAGTATTATTATTATTATTACCTGAATCTGTATCGTGTGTTTACAAAACTAAATAAAAATTACATTATAGACAAAGTGTCCTTTGTCTTTGTGTTTGACACGAGCATACTGACTGATATGCCGTTTATGTTTTGTCTCAGGCGTGTCTGGATGAGCATGTTCATGCAGAAGTTAAAACGGTTTTCCATATTTTTTTTTAAGATATATTATATTCTTTAGACTCTAAAGGATATGTCAAAGTCAAAGTCCTATTGGGTCGGGGGCCGGATTTGTCCAAATGAGACCTCAAGTGGGCCGGACTCATTTTGCCGACATCACTATAACTCAACACATGGATATATAGGCTAATGTATGATTGTATAGAAAACTTTAACATTAACATTAAGCAGAGGGGTTAACTCTGTCATTGCAAACTGCATGTTGGCACATGGAAATATTTAAATGTACCACATTACAGAAGAAAACATCAATAATTATGTTTTGATTGAGATTATTATATTATGTTTAAATATTGCTATTCAAGGTTATAGACACTTTGACACCTTATTCTACCTGCCCTGGGCTCAGTGCATTAGAGAGAGAGAGAGAGAGAGAGAGAGAGAGAGAGAGAGAGAGAGACTTTAGATCAGTGTGTGTCAGGCCACAGCACAGTTTGCACTCGTTAAGGTTCATTACAGATAAAACCTGCTCACGTGAATTGTTGTCACAAACAAACAGAGTGTCTTTGATGCATCTTCGGGTCTTTAAGTATGAGGCATTATAAAATGATAACATGTTTCCAAACAAACTGACTTGAATTGATCCTTCAGCATTGCGCACTGCAGTCTGATCAGCTCCGTGTGGAGTGCACGTTCTTCAACTAAGTAGACTCAGTTAAACGACTTTTCATGAGTCTGGCAGTCCGTTCTTCTACGTGTCCGCAATATCGTGATCTAACTCTGTCACTGACTTTTTATGCTCCATGAATCTCTGCCATCTCCGTGCGCAATTCAAGGAAGAATTTTAGCGCTGCTCCATGGTTAAACCAGCGGACCTCTGTATGATCGGGCAGCCTGGTCGTGATATCGTCTTTGTATAAGAATGAAATGTTCAGTAATAGTTACATATTTACGGTCTGATGAAAGCTGGTGATAAAGGCGCAACAGCAGGCTACTGCATTTAGAAGTGATTTCGCACTGAAACTTTTAGGTGATCAACACAACACGTTCACCTCTGGGTGCAGGGGCGGACTGGCCATCTGTGTGTTCTGGAGAATCACAGAACGGCCGGTACTTTTTTTTTCCTGCTAATTTACTGTTTCACACTCCAGTCCGGTAGGTGGAAACAATGCGTCTTAAAGTTGGATGCCAGCCGGCAGCTGCCTGTGCCCACCAGCTATAATCTAAAAGAGGTAGAAGTAGTTGTAGAAGCTAGTGATGTGAAAAGCAGTTATTTTCAGTGTACTGAATCATTAGAATCAGTTCAGTAAAGTGATTCGTTCAAAAGATTCGTTCACCGAATCGTTCAGTACTTCTCTGCAGCTCTGTCTGAGAATCAGAATTTCATAAGCTGAAATACGACCGAACGTTTAGTTCTGCTCGCGATCGTACTGAGAACAGCAGGTGGTGAATAATAAACTAATGAGCTGAGAATTTAGTTGGATAAAGTTACAGTTTGCAAACTGAAAGCTGCTAAAACAATCACATTTATTTTCCCCGACCGTTCTGTTCAGTACGTTCAGTACACAAATCACTCACTGACTGACTGACTGAGAGGAAGAGAGTGACTCGGAGGCGGTGCTCTCGTTCAGTTCGTTCAGTGAACGTGAACAAGCGAGACTGCGAGTCACCAGCCTCAGTCACACACACACACACACACACAATGTACTGACTGAAACACGATTGTTAGTGGATGTTAAAAAAGTCTCCCGACCGACTCCGTCCTGTTGGTTCAGTCAGTATGTATCACGGACATGAAAGGGAGAGGGAGGGCGGGCTTTGAACGACTCTTACGGTCTAGAGAGAGATACGAGACGGGAGAGAGGAGAGCGCAACTGAAGTTGAGAAATGAACGACTCTTTTCAGTAAGTGATTCAGTTCAGTTCGTTCACCTAGAAGATTCGTTCTTTTTGAACGAATCGTTCATGACCGACACATCACTAGTAGCAGCGAAGACGATCTTTGGTAGTAGTAGTGAAGCACAAAAATATGGATAATGTCGGTAAAAAAACACAAAGAAAAGGGTGGGGCTGAGAAGGCGAGGGAAAAAAAATGCGACATTTAGAAAGTGAAGCCGCTAAATGTCGCAAGCTCACTGAAATGTTCAGCAGCATAGCCGGCAGCAGCACTGAGGCACAAGTTGACGTTAGCAGCAGCATCCAAGAAGTTAGCAGCATGAGTGAAGAAGAGAGAGTTGAGGCGAGCCGGACAGTTGTGCAGCCTCAGCATGGTAGGGTCACATGTGATGATGAGGGACAGAGAGATGAGCTGGTGGAAGTTCAGGGCTGGAACTTGACATGAGAGAGGGAGAAAGAGAGTTACTTGCTGGTTGATGTTAGCAAATGTTATTCAGGTGTTGCTACATTTTTATCTATACCCAGTTTGTGTTGCTCAGTACAATGCAAAAAATTGAATGAAATAAAATAAAGTGAAATAATGATTATAGTAGTTAAAACAGCTCCACTTTAAACATTTTAGGTGTAAAATGCCACATGCAGTAATATTAAGAAATAGGCTACATACTGTATATATAAAAAAAAACTGTTGTGCTTTTACTTTTTAAAGTTTTGGTAACGTTACAGTTTTCTGATAATACTTACAAACTTTGAAGACTTTGAATACAGAAGTTACATTTGTAGTGATGTATTTTCATTATTATTTGTGCAGTAAGTTAATTACTGCATAATTTAATTAAGATTATTGAGTAATAAAGTAATCATAAGATTGCGTGGAATAGATGATGTTATAATCAACACCAGTGCTATTGCTGTAATTTGGATGGTATAGTGTAATGAGTCATGATTCAAGTATTGTGACACCTGCCCATTGTAAACTTATATTATCTCTGTCCTGGTTACATCAGACACTTCAGTATGCCTATCACAAATAAAAAAAGAAGACAAAAAAACAGTAGAATCCATATAACGTATAATAGTTTGTTATATGGATTCGACTGTTTTTCTAAAAAGTCACAAAAAAACAGTTTTAAAAGATGTCTAAAAAAATTGAAAAAAAGTCACAAAGAAAGTCACAAAAAACTCGAAGAAAAGTGAAGTTGTGAGTTTAACCCCTTCGATCTTACCAAGGTACCACATCTTTCTGAGCATGGCTCAGGGTGGCGCTGCCCTGCGGCGACACGGACACCAGTGAGCTGTTGTAGAAGTTTGTATTTTGTATGTGATCATTTTGGACTACCGTTCTGTGAGAATGGATGAATGAAGACCAAAAGGAGAATGAACATGCCGTGCTTTTGGACTCTTTTAGTGGCAATCACGATCCTCGTTGAACTTTTTAACAGCTGCCGAGCAACCGGAGTAAATCCGGTGATACAATACACACGAGAGCTGCTACTGTCTCTTCGCAATGATGCAAATCCACAGAGATTGATGACAGAAGACCTGCCTCAGGAGATACGATCATCACACCGACAGAGAGCGAGAAAAAGAGGCCGGAGAGGAGGCGTCCGACAGCGGCTGAGAAGGAGAGGAAGCCGGCCGCCACTACCATCTATGATCCTGTGCAATGCCAGATCGCTGAGAAACAAATTGGACGAACTCCGACTACTGTCAAAAGCCTGCTTTGAATACCGTGAGTCCTGCATAATGACTATTACTGAAACGTGGCTAACATCAGATGTACCAGAGCCTTTGGTCGAAATTGAAGGTTTCAGCCACATCCGCGCTGACAGAACTGAGGACTCCGGGAAGAGCAAAGGAGGCGGGCTCTGAGTGTATGTCAATGACAAGTGGTGCAGGCAGTACACAGTTCAGGGAACTGTCTGCAACAAGGACGTTGAACTACTGTGTGTTAGCCTAAGACCTTTCTACCTGCCCCGGGAGTTTGGAAATATTCTGATATGTTCAGTTTATGTTCCCCTGACGGTAACGCATCCAGGGCAGCTTCTGAAGTGGCGGACTTTGTACAAGAGCAGCTTCAACGCACACCAAACGCCCCCATCTTTATTATGGGAGATTTTAAACACTGTAATCTGAACACTGGACTTTTATATATATTGAACAATATATAAAATGCGACACCAGGAAGAGAAAAACATTGGACAAATGTTATGGAAATATCAAGGGTGCATATTCAGCTTCCGCAAAACCCCCTTTGGCAAATTCTGACCACAACACTATCCATCTGATCCCCACTTACAAAACAGCTCTTAAGAGCAGCAAGCCTCTTGTTAAATCTGTCAATGTATGGACTAAAGAGAGTATTGACACATTGAAAGGCTGCTTCTTATGCACAGAATGGGACACTTTTTCTGAGGAGAATGATGTAGACCAGGGGTGCCCAAACAGTCGATCGCGATCGACAGGTAGATCGCTGACTGATTCTCAGTCGATCGCGAGATGTTTAGTCAATATAAAATACAATTGTAAAATAGAAAAGTGATTTCAATTTCATCTCATTGCACTGTTTCCCACACACGATACCTGTGTGGGGAGCCCAAGTATACTTCCGACCTGTTTGTATTTAATTTTTCATTTATTCATGAAATTGCTGCGTGCACGAGAGAGCGAGCGAGAGAGAGAGAGAGAGAGAGAGTGCAGGCATGCGCAAGGACGTGCAGGTAAAACCGGGGGGGTAAATGTTTTACCAAAAAGTCATATATAGAAACTATGCAACGAGTATTAAGCGCATTTGATGAAGCTGCAGCTACTTTTCTCTGCTCCTCTCTGCTGTCATGACTGTGAGCATCGCGGGGCACGAGACACACCAACATACAGCGCAAAACGTAATATTAAAATGTAGCCTACCCTAAAATAAGAGTTTAAAAAAATTGCATTATTTTTTACAGAACTCTCATTTATTATTTTCTGTTTGTTGTGTGAGTATTAAATGCGTTTGTAGGCTGTTGGTAAAGGCTATGGCTCACTATGTGGACTGGTAGATCTCGGCAGACTGGTAACTTTAAAAGTAGATCTTGGTTCAAAAAAGGTTGGGTACCCCTGCATTAGTGCATAACTCAACATTGTTCAGTTAAGTATAACACGTAAAGCTCACTTTTTCAGTTCATTCCCCGTCCACGAATCCCTCGAATTCTTCTTCTTCAGTGTCCGAATTGAACAGTTGGGCGAGTACGGCATCCAACATGCCCGGCTCCCTCTCGTCATTATCCGAGTCAGTGTCGCTGAGCGCCGTGTACAACCAGTATGGATCAACCAATTAACCAATTGATCCATATATAAGGCGCTCCGGATTATAAGGCGCACTGTCGTTTTTTGAGAAAATTAAAGGCTTTTAAGTGCGCCTTATAGTGCGGAAAATACGGTACATGAATTTGAGCTGAAGTGCTCATCAATAGTAAAGTCTATGAATACAAAAACTTCTCTGTGCGTGTTGTACCCATCCTACAGTCGGATGGTAGTGGTACCATCTTTTCTTCTTCTAATGGAGCTACTGTATCTCATTCAGGTTTGGTCTTGAAGTGTCTGATGTAACCAGGACAGAGATAATATAAGTTTACAATGGGTGCGTCTGGAGATAGTATCTGAAGGAGATTTAGGAGTCCCCTTAGGTGGAATGTTTAAACTGAGGTGTTGTATAGGAGTATTGCCATATATGGTTGTGTAACTTGATGTTTTTATGACCCATGACGGGAAAACAGATGTTTAGATGCATATAAGCAATTGTCTCTGTGTGTTCGACAGAGATCATTATTGGCTTCTTGATCCTCCTGGTCAGACGTGACCAGTGATTCTGTTTCTTGCTTAAATGAAATTATACTCTTTGAAAGCAAGTCAGTCTCAACGGCGAATTTCTTCATCATCAAACATATCAACAACAAGGAAATCCACATCAATTTTGGCGTCACGGAACAGGATCAGTTGGGGCCTTCTGCAGGGGACCACAGCTTGTTTATTATTTCCATCACTTCGTAAGTGTTTCTTTCTTTTTTGCTGCACATATTGCGGAGCTGTTTCTGTCGTCTATCGGCAATTTTGGCCGCACTGTCAAAGAACTGAAGTGCAATGATGTGTTGATGTTGGAGTAATTCTCCGTCTAAATTGGGGTTTATTGAGTTAAAAAGTATATAAATAAAGGGGACTAAAATAAAGAAGAGATAAATAAGAGAAGAAGAGATGAAAAAAGTTGAAAGGTAATGATAGCATAAGCGCAACTAGTAACGAGACCAGTTAGCTAAATAACCATGCAAGTTTAACAAGGACAGGGCCCGTATCCTCTTAACAGTAAGTCATGTGTAAATTAGACACTGAAGTGAAAGTTGGCTTTAAGAAGTAGTCAAATTTGAGTAAAAATAAAACAAAGGGGATCCCTGGCCAGGGTATTTGAATAGATGATAAACGTATAATGTAGGTAAATAAAAGAGAAGAAATAAAAGAGAAGAAATAAAGATGAGAAGTGTAAAGATGAGAAGTAAAAAGATGAAAAGTGAAGATAAGGAATAAAGATAAGAGTTTTGAGAAAAGTGGGAAAAAGCGCTAAGTAAAGGAAAAAGTGTGCATTGAAGCATGCAGTGTGAAGTAGTTTGTTAAAAGACAATTTGTTAAAAGTTTGGCCAAAGTAAAAGATTGGATAGAGGAAAATTATAAATGAGTCGACTTCAAAATCTGAACTGAAATGTGTGTGGCTGTTGAAGGGCTCTGTCTCTGTCTGTGTCTTGTCTCTTGTGTTGTGATTTGGATGGTTTTGAGAGGTCTGTGTGGTGTGGAGATGTGTATTTGATCCGGAAATGTTCTTGTATATGTGTGATTGATAAATAGAATAGATGTATTATTAAATAGGCATATATAGCAGGTGATTGGTTAAAAGGCGATTTAGTAACTTATAAGAGGGGACATTTTTGCTTCATCAGTGTTAAAACTCTATGAGCCCTTTGTCTAAGGGGACGTTTATATATCCGATTTGATAAAAAATATGAGCCTTTGTTTCAGAGGACTTTTACTTATCTGATCTTCATCAGTGTTAAAAACCTATGAGCCCTTTGTTTCAGGGGACTTTATATATTCAATTTGATAAAAATCTATGAGCCCCTCAGAGGATGTTTGTTTAATCTGATAAATACACATGAGCCTAATAAAGGACGTTTATACATAGCATAAGTGTATATAGTATCTGTTTTTAACAGAAGTGGAGAGACCAGCGAGGATAGTCTGTACCCATTCAGGTAGCAAGTTTCGAGAAAAGAACAGAAAAATTCCTGATAAAGTTTAGAACTGCCGGCTGATTGGAGTGTGAACTTCTCTTTCTGTTTGTTTGAGCGTATGTGTGTGACCACATTATGCTGCGAATTTTGTCTGTTCAAAAAGAACATATAGTTTGGTTTAAAATAGGTGAAGAAGTTGGTTTTGACTATTAGAGAATACATTTTTCTATTTGGCTGTTGACTGGGAGGATACTGTGCTGATTTCTGTGTGTGCGTAGACTCTGTGCACAGGGGTGGAGCAGTGATCTTAAAAGTGTGTGTGTTCTGTGCTAGTATATTACCACCCTCTAGGAAATCAACACATTCTGTTTCATTTAATGTCCAATAACTAAGTTTAGCTGAAACATCATATAACAAGACAAAGTTACAAAAGATAATTAGACACTAACTTTATGAACATCCATTGTGAGTAACCGAGTTAGCTCTAGAAATCAGATTCAAAACGGTTCTTTGTGATGCCATTATTTTGCTTTTCTTATTGCCTTACGCCTCAGTCTCTTTATTTCCGGTCTTCACATAAAATGTGCTTTTATTTAGAAAAACTGCAAAGGGGACTTCTGCTACATTGTAAAGTTATGGGAGTAAATACATACAGCTAAAATAACAACCAAGAGGAGAAAATGTTACACTTATGCTGTTTTGTGAGGTGGATTTATCTTAAAAACCTCTGTTTGGGTGACTTACTCTCTTTCAGAAGGATGCTACATGCAGCATGTTTCCATGTGTGAGCTCTGAGCTCTGACTCAGTGATGAGTGACAGGAGGATTAAATGCAAATGTAACCTTACCGTGCTTCAACTGTAATCAAATAGATATGATTGGCTTAGTTGTCACTTAATAAATCTTACTTGACCGATAAGTTTCCTTTTAATGACTCCACTAGTAAAAAGTGTACATTTTAGTGAAAGTAGGGGTGTCACAGCACCCACGGGTGAGATGTGCCTGTCTGTGCATTAAATGCACTAGGTTTGGACCATAGGTTTGGAGACGATGTTAACCCTTTGACAGCCAGGTTAGACTGGAAATAGATAAAGATTACAGATAATGTGTGCATATTTCACTGAATTGTTATTGCATTGTCTATATGGATTCAGAGTGATTAAACTTTTGTTTTGTTTTTCTTTCTGTTTTCTCTGTTTCTCTCTACTATGCTGTGTGAGAGCTAAAGAAGACAGACAGATGGATTGTGTCTGAACTGGATCAGTCCAAAAAGGCAGATGAGGATACCTGGGGTACTTCACAAGCACTGGAAGCTTGCGGATGACAGCATGTAGGATCCTGAATCCAGCTTGATCAAGGCCAGTGCGGTTTTATCCACAAACTCTTTCAACAAACACCTGAACTTTTCTATCTGTGTATACTCATTTTTTATAGTCAACATCTTTATACATGCTTAGTCTGTTCGCATAGAGGCTTACATTGTTTCTTCTATGTATCACATTACAATTATATAGGAGGAAGTCTTGGCAACAGACTGACTAATTGAAGCATTGGTCAATAATGAGTAGTATTTTGATTTGATTGATCATTTATGGAAAAGTTGATTTGATTCAAATGCAGTTGAGTGCTGTGAATGCTGGTTTCATTGTCAGTATGGTCTAGCTTGACCTGGGCTATTTTGAGATGGAACATTGACATTATTTCCATAATTTTAAAGATAAATAAGTGTGATAAGTTGCATTAGGTGATAAAGAAGTGCTTTGCTTTTATAGTAAGAAGGCTTTTCTCCTTTGGGGTTGGCAAATTCATTCACTTTAAAGTGTGGTAACAGTACTTTCAAATAGTTTGACTTACAATACGAGGAACTAAGAGGGTCATTGTAATGTCAAAGATGGACACCAAAATTACAATATCAATCACTCCTGTTGATGTAGTACAGAAGACTAATCCTCTTGTTAAAGATATTCCAAAAATATCAGAAAAATGGAGTAACGTTGGCTGACATTGACCAGCCTTGGCCAGTAGAGGACTTTGAACCCGGATGTGATCAAAACAATACAGGTACTTGTGTCTATATACAAGGTAAAGCAGAAGAAGGGAAAAAGGAAAAAGGCGTATGGAGAAAAGACAAACTGAGCTTGGAGTTCTGCAGTTGTTTGAAAATGAAGGACAGAAACTGTTAGAAGCTGCAAATGAAAAAAGAGGCCGCGGTATGCAAGAAATACAGAAAAAATGATAAGGCAGTGGGTAAGTTAATGGAGAAGGTTAACACACCCTTCTCACATACTGCCTTAGTAAAGAAGCCCCCGCCTTATGAGAAGGAAGTGAAGTTTACTGATGTTTACCCCAGCTCCCAGTATTATACAGAAGGGCAACTATCACATCACAGACGAGGATGAACAAATAATCGAGAAGGAAGCTACAACGACCATAGAAATGTACCCAAGCTCCGACAGCAAAAACAAAAAGACCCGTTGAGAATGGACGGTCAGCAGTTCAGACGACTGGACATAGAGATGACAGTGAGATGAAGTTTACTGATGTTTACCCCAGCTCCCAGTGATTATACAGAAGGGCAACTATCACATCACAGACGAGGATGAACAAATAATCGAGAAGGGAAAGGCTACAACGACCATAGAAATGTACCCAAGCTCCGACAGCAAACAAAAAGACCCGTTTGAGAAGTTGGAGCGGTCAGCAGTTCAGACGACTGGACATAGAGGATGACAGTGAGAGTGATTCGGATGAAGCTGTTGGTGGATATGACCCAGCAGTAAGACGGATGTTGGCTAAAGCGGAGAAAAAAGGAGACAAGCCAATAAGAAGAGTGGATCCAGGAAAGGACGACACAGATGTGAGCAATGATGATGAAGACTCAGAGAGAGAAGGTCCTTCATATCTTCACCCATTAGCAGCCGGTTAGGGGTGGAAGATGATGGATGCAGCGCTTTAAGAGAGGTGGAGAGAACTATAGATAGATGCCTTGTGAAAATGAATGAATCTACCTGTCCAGCAACCCAGCATGTCTTGGAAAGGCAACTAGAGGAACTGAAAAAAACACGGAAGAAAATACAGAAGAAGTCTCAAAGGTCTGACACTTTGGGTATGAATTACGTCCAAGAAAAGAAAAGAGATTCAATAAAATGTGTCCAGTAATTGTGCGAGGTCAAAATTTAGAGTATAAACCTTGGCAAAGTACAGACATGTCAAACATACTTGAAAAGTTACCCACTCTTCAAGATGGAGCGCATCCTTGGATTTCGAAGTTGGAAGAGGTTTTGGTGGGAACACAGCCTGCCATGGGAGACATTAAGAGACTCTTGGCTAGCCTCATTGGGGTCCCAGCGATGGAGGAAATCCTACAGGCGGCAGGCCTTAATAGATATGTGGCAACTGCAGTATATGATCCGGAATTGTTGGCTGCCAGTAGAGGTCGGATGTGGAGAGCATTGAGAGATACATTTCCAACCAACGTACACCCTGATAATATTCTCATTGAACCATTGGGCCCACAGGAAAACCCAAGAGCTTATGTGTCAAGGGCTCATCAAGTGTGGAGAAATGTCACAGGAAATGACCCGGATTTGAATCAAATGGAGCAATCAATTTTGAGAGCTAAGATACAGAAGGGATTGCCCTACAAGCTGGCGGAGGTTGGTCTTGGAAGCATGGCAAAAGGTGTGTATACAGATCACATAGCACATCAAGTTGATCTGTATCGGAAAAAAGAGCATGACCAGAAGGAACAGGACCAGGAAACTCTTAGAAAGCTTAACCAATACAGCTGGTGGATAATAAGAAGAAGGAGAAGAAACAAGCTTGGTTATGCAGAGTCAGCCTCAATCAACTCAATTACCACCACAACCGCAGCATGACCAGATCCAGTATCAGCCCCCCAGCCGTTTCCATGATCCCCAATGCCCTTTTCCGCACCAGTTTGACCAACCACAGATAGGGAAGAGGAGGCAGAGGAGAAATTTCCAACAGTCTTCAGGAGTGTGTCATAATTGTGGACAGCTAAGCCACTTTGCTTGTGAATGTTACAGAACAGAGGAGATTTCAGAGGAGTATGGTGAATGTTGAGGTTGGAGAGGACTTTTCTGTTGTTTACAGGAAAGGTCAAGGAGTTAGATTTATGTTGAAGGAATTGTAAGGTAGAATAGTGAAGGTTCAGGAAGTAGAGAGATAAGTGAATGCTCAGTGAAGGAAATTGTTAGACCTGCTGGGTCTGATGATCTAGGAGGCACATGGTTTAGCCCATGTTGCAAGGGGGGAGGTTAGGAGAAAGATCACGAAAGAACATGGTTTTTGGGCACCGTACTTGCTTGAACAGATTGATTATGTCATAGGCAGGTGTACTATCTGTCTAAAAAATAACGTTCGTAGGGGTGTGATGGTTCCTCCCGGTTACATTCCAACGCCAACAGGTCCTATGCGTGAGTTAGTTGTGGATTTTGTTGACATGATACGACCGGTAGGAGGTAAAAGATACATGTTAGTTGTTGTGGATAGATTTTCAAGGTGGCCCGAGGCCTGTCCAACTAAGCGGAAAGATGCTCAGTCTGTTGCCAAGTTTTTGTGTCGTGAGGTTATAAGCAGGTGGGGACTCCCAGACCGCATATCCTCAGATAATGGGAAAGAGTTCGTGGATAAAACAGTAAGACTAATTCTGCAAAAATTGGGAATTAAACAACGTTTAGGAGCTGTTTATCATCCGCAAAGCCAAGGTGCTTGTGAAAAAATGAATGGTGTGTTAAAAAACCGCATTGTTAAAATCTGCCAACACACAGGTTTGAATTGGGTGGAAGCGCTTCCACTGGCGTTAATGGTGTGTCGTTCAAGTGGGCTCCGTGATTTGCGCATGACACCCCATGAGTTGGCAATGGGCAGACGGATGCCGACACCTTGTTTGCGTACAAGTGGCAAGGGTCCAAGTTTAGCCCTTTTAGAAGATGAAATGCGAGTGTATGTTAATTACATGGCTGCTTTACATAAGAGAATATACACATATGTCTCTGACAGGCAAAAACGAGAGGAGGTGCAAGAGAGACTCGATGAGCAAAAGACGAATGCAGTGCAACCTGGAGACAAGGTATTCGTGAAGGTGTTTAGGAGGAAGTGGTTTAATGAACGCCGCGAAGGACCATTTGAAGTAGTCCGCAGTACGGGAACTGCGGTCCAGGTTAAAGGGTCTCCTACCTGGTATCATTTATCACATTGTGTTAAAGCGCCAACAGAAGAGGTTCCACGATCACAGAACCGAGATGTTGAAAGCGCAAGAGAGCCAACAGAAGCTGCAGAAGCAGCAGAGGTTCATGCAGACCCCCAAGGTCACGATCCGGAAGAAGGGATTGACCATGTTGGGGCTATGCATGATGATTTTGATTACACTTTTGATGATGTCAGGGATGACTTGTCAGTCCATGAGCAAGAAAGACGATTTGGTGACATTGATTTACAACATGTCCCAGAAACAACAGAGTCTATTTCTCAAGAGCATGAGTCAAAGACTCCAGAGGGCTGTGATGCCTCTACAGGAAAATTCACAGACCCAGTTGGACCAAGGAGTCCAAGGCCAACCCGAAGAAAGGTTAGACCAAAACGTTACGAGGACTAGAGTAGAAGTGATTTGGGAAAGTCAGTTCAGCTCCCATGTCAGTGTACAAAGGAAAATAATGGGAAAGGGAAATTCCGAGTCAAGTGGGAAGATAGCCATGGTAAGGTTATTGATTTATTGGGGACATCACCACTAGAAAAGTATGTGTTGCTTAATGATCGAAGAAGGTCAAAGATTGAGGGAGACTGTAGTCTTTATTTACGTAGATCTCAGATTGAAGATCAAGGTGACTATAAGTGTACATATTATGACCCAAAATTAGTAAATATGGGAGAGCATAGTGTCCAATTGGGGTTAGGTTACAGAAACAGTATTGTGACTTTAGTGGTACTAAATGAAACTAGAATTGCAAAACCCCTGGTTGTTGAAGTAGGAAAACTGTCAACTACCATATCAACTCTCCCGCTGATTGAGAAAATAAAGCAGACATCCACCTTTTCAAAACTGAAGGTTACTGACGTCACAGAGATATTGCGTCTAAATACAGCTGAGCCTCAGATGATTTCTACAACTCAAATTCCTGTAAACATTGTGATTAAAGCTACGTTAGGGAATTCAGCACGCCTTCCATGTAAATGTGGAAAATGGAATAATGATGATAATAATCCCCTAATTGGAAAAATGCTCGTGGTGAAGAAATAGTGCTAACAGGACCTGAAATTAATAGTGTGCCTCGTGATCAAAGAAAGTATATTTTGTATAATCACATAAGGTTGTTTAGGGTTGAAGACGACTGTACACTTGTCCTAATCAATGTAACAGGGAAGATCAGGGAGAATATACATGCACTTATTTGGATCCAGAGTTTAAATTTGTACCATATCACAATTATTGGGTAAAAGGGTATAGAACTCGTAAGATAATGCTTGTGGTAGAAGGCCTAGATCCTATTGAAGTAGTTACGGTGGCTAAAGAGGTTCAAAAGCAACTAGTCACTCCAAGGGTGACTGATGAACAGATGATGTCTACTACTGTAGCTCAGAGAATAACTAGTAGTATTAACGTATCAACTTTGGTTACTACTCTAGCTGCGAGTAATTTTACAAGTGAGGTTGTAAAGATGGGATTTACTATCAACGAAACAATGATGAGTTCTTCGGTGTCTACAAAGTCTGTAGGTATGATGTTGACATCTGTTGCTACATCTACATTAGTTAAGGCAGCTGAAACAATTCAGATGACTATGTCGAATCTGATTGGTGATTTTGTAGATGCTGACGGAACATCAGAAGTCATGACTAAACATCTTCATGCATTAGAGAAGCGTGAAACCCAATGGAAAGCTTATGGGTTTGATTCCTCGGTGTTGCAAATTGCAGACCCGTGGGCAAGTAGAAATATGTGGTACCAACAGTTGACTCACTCTGTTAGATTGGCTAGTAATTTGAGTGGTCCATGTGTTGTGAGAGTTCCAGCACCAGGCACATGGCCTTCAATTCTAGAGACGGTACCAGAACCTTTAACTTCTAAATGTCAAAATTATGCGCTATCGTGGTTGGTATTTAAGCAACAAGCACCATATGATTATTGGATGGCCGTGTCGGTGCATCTATTTACACCTCAACGGAATTGTGCTTGGTTGAAGAACTTATCATATATAAATCTCCTTTATCAGTATGAAGATATTACAGGGTAATTTTACCATAGGAACATTTAAAGACATCTGGTGGATTTGTGGTGATAAGGCATACTTATTTTTACCTTATGGTTGGATTGGATGTTGTTATATGGCACAGTTGAAACTTCCGTATGATGTTTTTGTTATTCAGAAGGGACAAGGGTCTGATGAGGATAACTCTACGACACTCTCTAGCAGTAGAAAGAAAAGAGATTTGGCACAATTTCACAACTTGGAGTCTTATCATTGGAGGATAAGTTTGGGAGAGAAATGGGGAATAGGATTGTTTCCATGGTATGGTGTTACATACTTAGCTGATCATATTGATAATATTACATATACCCTGCAAGGTTTTGCAAACGAGACCATAAAAGGTTTTGAATATTTGTCAAATACTCAGAGCAGTCATCGATTGACGTTGCTGAAACATGACATGGCTCTTGATTACATTTTGGCCAAACAAGGTGGCCTCTGTGTAGCTTTGAATCTAACTGGAGAAGCCTGTTACACTTTGATTCCTGATGCTACTGACAATATGACTAGTGTCATAGATGCTTTGAAACTAATTAGGGATTCATTTGGTCCATCAGAAAGAGCGGGATGGTCTGCGAATACTTGGTTACAAGACCAATTAGGACCAGTAGGAGCTATAGTGGTTCAGATTTTGGTGGCTACCCTTCTATCACTGTGTGTGATGTTTTGTTTTTGTACGCTGTTGTTGACCTTTGCTAAGGCTATGATATTGAGATGGGTAGGAGTTGTGATGCCAGGAGAAAACATTCAGATGCCGCTACTGAGTGGTAATGACCTAAGTGAAGGTGAGGAGGTCATAGAGATTGGAGAGAAATATCCATTTTTGAATATCTGAATTCAACATTGACTCACTATTATTTTGAACTGGAAGTGAATTGATAAAAGGGGGGAATTGAATATTTTAATCATGTATATTAATCATGTATATGTTAATCATGTAGTGGAATAATGTGAAAGTATGATACAAAAATGAATATCTTTGATGGTTTTGTATGTACAAAGATACTGGTTGTTGATTTTTCTTCCCAGGATGATATTTGGGAGACCAATGTGAGGGTGGCTGATTGTCCAGAGATTCTTCCAGATTAATGGAGTTGAAACAACCAAACTTAAGAAAATGGAGGATGGAAATGGACAACGGAAACCTGAATGAAGACATCATGATGAGGGGTTTCGATTGAAAAATCATTGAAGGTTTATTACAATGTAACTTGTATTGTTGATAAATATTTTTGTATGTTTTACTTTATAGTATATATTTTTAGCAAGACATATTTTTCTGGAACTGTATGAGATGCATATATTGGGACCTCAGGTGTTTTCTTTCTTTATCGATCCTTAAGGAAAGTGGTGTTAGGTAGGGAGAGGTCCATTGGAAGGTGCGATGGGTCGACCAGCCTGACTTTGGACAATTTTTAGATTTTATTTCTGAGGTTTTAAATGTGTGCATTTATATATCATCCTGAAAAGTTTTCATAACCCTTTTTCTTTTTAATTGGTTTGGAGTACTATAGGTGGTTGCCTGGGGCAAAGGAACCGTGAGAGAGTTTTCCTGTCTAGATTGTTTGATGGATAATAAAGAAAGATAGCTGCCTGATGGGTTTTTCGCTCTCACACTCCACAAATAAAATTTTACTATATTACTAAGGTTAAGCATGAACAGAAGTGATTCGTATGAGGCTAATTAACATCATAATTGTATAATTTATCTCGTTTGCGAGACTATAGTCTCGCTAGGGGGGACTATGAAGTGTCTGATGTAACCAGGACAGAGATAATATAAGTTTACAATGGGTGCGTCTGGAGATAGTATCTGAAGGAGATTTAGGAGTCCCCTTAGGTGGAATGTTTAAACTGAGGTGTTGTATAGGAGTATTGCCATATATGGTTGTGTAACTTGATGTTTTTATGACCCATGACGGGAAAACAGATGTTTAGATGCATATAAGCAATTGTCTCTGTGTGTTCGACAGAGATCATTATTGGCTTCTTGATCCTCCTGGTCAGACGTGACCAGTGATTCTGTTTCTTGCTTAAATAAAATTATACTCTTTGAAAGCAAGTCAGTCTCAACGGCGAATTTCTTCATCATCAAACATATCAACAACAAGGAAATCCACATCAGTCTCACAAAGAGTACCCTCTGATCCCTGTGGGCAAACAGGTGCTCAATAGGAACCCAATGAACTACTTTGCTGAGGTGGAGCAACTCGCCTTCGATCCCAGCAACATGCCACCAGGTATCGAGGCCAGCCCAGACAAGATGCTGCAGGTAAACACAACTTTCTTTCTTTTCATTTGTTATTCTTGACACATTTTCCAGTAATACTGAATCTAAAAAAAGTTTTTTCAGCTAAACTGTTCCTGTAACTTCAAATAATAACTGTCTCTATGGTGTCCTGTTTAAGTGCATGTTCAGGCATCTTAATGAGGGTATTGGGTGACCCCCAAGACTTTATTGTCTCCCAGCAGGTCTTAGTCTGGACCCTAATCTTTTGAATAAATGACCAACGAGAAATCTTGTTTTGTTTTTTTAAAGACAGACCCTTCAGTTAAGCGATGCCCTGTTGATGTTCATCTCCTTTATCTTTGTCTAGGGCCGTCTCTTCTCCTACCCAGACACGCATCGACACCGGCTGGGAGCTAACAACCTGCAGCTCCCTGTCAACTGTCCATTCAGGAGCCGTGTGACCAACTACCAGCGCGATGGTCCGATGTGCATGTTTGACAACCAAGGTGAGTCATAGTCCAACCTGTGTGTGACGCAATAACAGAGACAGACTCAAAGGCTTTACTGTTGAAGCTTTGTATGTAGTGCAAAAAATAAATCTTGTATAATCTACCTAATCTATCTTTAGTCTGTATATATCAAAGGAGCATTGTAGTATTTGCAGCGATTGGGTTACTCACAGTGTGTCCAGGAAAGATGAGCCACCATGTCTGAGACAAAGCACACTACGACAAACATCAAACCTGAGTGATGAAGTTAGAGTGAATTCAGTCTATAAAACACATCAGTTTAATACATTTGATCTCCCACTAACATCCAGACATACAAATTTTTAGTTTTTTGAAAAGACTTGGTAAAATACAACAGGGCAAGACCAAGAGTTGCCCAACAGATGTCGCCATTGAGACTGTATGAAATGCAATAGGACTCATACTAATAGGAGGGTGTTTAAGAAGAATTGTAAGTTGCTCATCTAATTCAAACTGAGTTTAAAACTAACCACAGCCATCCATGCACACAGTCAATAAAGTTCTTTATTCTGTTCAGATTTTAACATAGCAGTTTGTTCTGTCCGGCTTCTAGGTGGAGCCCCAAACTACTATCCCAACAGCTTCAGTGCTCCTGACACCCAGCCTCAGTTTGTGGAGTCCAAGTTCAAGGTGTCTCCAGATGTGAGCCGTTACAACAGTAGAGATGAGGACAATGTCGCACAGGTGAAGAAAACATCCCGATATAACAAGCACCAGCCGGTTTACACAAACCGATTTCACCACCAGGATGGTTCTTCTTCTCTGCTAATTTCCTGTGCGCTTCCTGCCCTGTACCAAACAGACACAGCTAACAGCTTCAGAGCCCAACATAATAAGTCAGTGTTATGTCTAACAGGTTCCTCCTCTTTCACAAGTCACCATGGACATAAGTCAATATGGTTTTCAAATAAAGACTGAAATGAAAATCAATAATAATGAATCATTGTAGAGCAAAACAAGTGAACTAATCTACACATGAACTGTATGTGTGTTACTACTCTAAGGTAACCAGGATCGTGACAAGGCTAGAGATGATTGGCTTTATTTTGAAGCTATCCTGTCTGTATGAAGTGGACTGAAATGGATATCATTTTGATTCAATCTACTCTTACCAGGTATTTAATGTGTGTTTTCAAATTTGAATTGCAGGTTCGGACCTTCTACACCGAGGTGTTGAATGAGGAGGAGCGGGAGAGGCTTTGCAGTAACATGGCTGGTGCCCTGAAAGGAGCCCAGCTCTTCATCCAAAAGCGCATGGTGAGTCCTCACTGCATTATTATCCACACAGTCTCTGTCACCTGGACATGCTTGATGCTGTCATGCTTCTACTAAGAGTTGTCCAAACATAATACTTCCACTGTTTAAATCAAATGACATGTTCTTTAACATGTTTATTGCCCCGTAGCAGGAAACATTTAAAAAATAAAATACTGATGGCTTTATGAACGAGCGTGCTAAAACCACAGGATGTGGCTCTCTGGAAACCAAACACTGTGCTCATGAAGCTTGGTGTCTGTATGTGGGTTTAGGCAGAGGCGATTAAATTGAAATCTCCCAATTCATGCACCAGGCAGTTCTAAAGTGTTCTTCAAACAATCAAAGAAAATGTGATCATGTATACAGTGTGAAATGAAACAGAACAGAAATGTTACTTAAATCTTGCTCAAAGGGAACAGTTACTAAAGAAGACTTAAGAGGTCCGGTTAGTAGTTTATTTTGGGATTAAGCATTTATTGTTTAAAAAAAGGCATAAGATTTGGACGAGTTTATAATGGTAACTTTAGTTGTTTTCCTATTACCTTGGACGACATAGGTCGTCATGGTTATTAAACTGGTAAATGCACTGACTTGTTTTTTTAACAAGTTGTCAGGGAACAGTGATTTGTACTGATCCTGACTTCTACTATGATTGCAGAATGATATGAATGAGTCTGAGGGCTTCTTAATGGTTGATTTGCTAACTTTTACATAAAGACTTTGAAGTCATCTTTTTTGTGCATACATTTTCTCAGTGATGTCAGATACCATGGATTATTCAGGTTCATTAAGAATCTGAAGGCCCTTACTCATCACTGCACCTGGCACTATATGCTTGTGTCAGCTTCCCTGCATTGTCATGTTGACTAAATCACTGGCATTTCCTGGTTTATGAGCTATTTCTTAACTTTCTTCCTTCTTATGTATGTCATTTTGTTCATTTGAATAATGCTGGAAGCTACACTCCTCACCCTGTTTTTCATATCTGTCTCCAAAGTGCCTCTTTACATGAGAATACAGGAGTTATAGGTAGGCTGCCCTATTTGGCTTAGGGCGCACTCACACTAGCAAAGTTGTCCCGTACTGTGCTTAAGCACGGTTGCCCCCCCTCCCCATTACCCCGCTGGCCTGCTCTCACACTGCTCCAGGACTAACCGGGCCCGAGCACGGCTACCTCTTGCACATAAGGTCGTAATACAACACATGCATGGCTTTACTTAATAATGAAGCGTGCTCAGTTTACAAGACAGGCTTACTCGAGGAAATAAATAAAGACACATGGTCGATTCTGCGTCCATACATCGGGGAACTTTAGCGGTGAAGCGTGCTTGGGCACGGCACAGATTGCCTAGTGTGAGTGCGCCCTTAGAATCTGCTACAGGAGGATTTGGATGTGGGGGACCTTGTTCCTTCAGACCTTTGAAAAAGGAGTTTGAAGGCGTTGGAGGAAGTTGCATCAGGTTATAGACACTTTGAAATGGCTAAATTCAATAGCTAATCAACTTGAATCACATTTTTATGTTTGAAATGTCTTTATTGAGCATTTCAAAACTGTATTTGTCGTACTTTCATATTTATAAATATACTTCTATGTTGTACTGTTTAAGCTCTTGTGCTTTACTTCCTGTTTGAAAGAGAAATCCTGCCTTTATTTTCGAAGAAAACCGTGAGAAAAGGAAGTGTTTGATGTGACACAGTGGACATTAAATGTAAATCGTTAACTGTAGTGACTTATCTATGGTACGCTGAAAGGGACATAGAACTGCACACAATTAATGCTATTAAACTAATATAAGCGTTCATTTGGGATCTTAATGTCATCGTGTTTAATGTGGAAGTGCTCAACAACAATGTAACAATGATGTTATATTAAGGGGTGAAATAACAGAACTAGCAATTGACCTGATTTAATTTCCGTCATGCGTCACCCACCCTCAACTGTCAACAGGTGACCACAACACTGTGGCTTCTGGTCACACTGTGGAAATCTTTCACAGAGAAGAACACGCTCTCTGTTTTACTGTGGTCAGGTCTGGTTTCATGTTTCCAAGCAAGATTGCAACTCTAAACCTTTGAGAAACCAAAATTGATCACTGCATCTGCCATCTTCCTCTCAGTGTTTATTAATAAACATAAATAAATAATTGAGTAAGTCAAATCACAATAAGGTATTCTATCTTCCAAAAGAATCATCATATCTGGACCGTTTGACAAAAGACATTTGATCAGACTCTGATTGTTAGAAGTATAAAGAACATCTTTTTCAGGGCCTTAATATCATATTATCTGTTTTCTCCTGCAGATTGAGAACTTGAAGGCTGTCCATCCAGACTATGGAAACCGGGTTCAGAATCTTCTCAACAAGTTCAATAATGAGGCCCAGCAGGTAAATAGTAACTGTCTGATTGATTCTTGGCGAGTAGTTTTGATATGTTTATAAAACTTGAAGCAAACATTCAGGCAGGAATCTGAATGACTGAGGGGATTCCCTGGGCGCTGTTTCTTTAGTGTCATCATGACTTTGACATTTTGGAAGTGTCCTGACTATTGTTTTCAGCTATTCTAGCAGGTCCACATTAAAATTTCATGGTTTTCCTCAACAGCTGTTCTGTGGGGAGCAAATGTTTGCATATGAATGGATTTCTTTACTTCATTTTATCAGAGCAGTTGATGAATTATTTACTGTCTGCATACAAAAAAAAAATTTCATAGAAAATAAAAAAGTTTCTGACATGAATGATCTACCCTAGCTTAAAATATCAAGGCAACTATCGTAGGGCTGCTTGATTATGGCAAAAATCATAATCACGATAAATAAATAAAATAAAAAATTACATATAAAAGTTTGTGATTCTGATTCAGTGTTAAGGCCAGCAGAGAAGGCCTTACTGGCACTGACTGCCAACCTCTGACAAGGGCTGACATGAGGCGGCTCAGATGTAGAGTCGGCCGTCTCTCAACTGGAAGGTTGAGGGTTCGATCCCCAGCTCCTGCAGCAACATGTCTGATGTGTCCTTGGGCAGGAATGAATTGCTCCCGCTGCTTCGTGTGTGGCGTATGAATGTGTGTGAATGGGATTAGGTACTTCTGATGGACACTTGACATAGCAGCCTCTGACATCAGTGTGTGAATGTGTGGGTGTGACATACAGTGTAAAAGCACTTTGTGTAGTCAGAAGACTAGAAAAAAGCGCTATACAAGTGAATTTACCATTTTCAGTCTTCAGTATTTGAGCTCATATTGTATACAGATGTTTATAGATCAAGGATAACATTCAGCCTGCTCACGAGGACAAGGATGTTAAACAGAAATGAAAGTTATTCCATGACAGACATTGGGCACATTAATTGTCGGAACATTTGGATATACTGTATATATTTTTTTGTGTGTCTGGTGGCAACATTTCATAATGCAGATTTATTAATGTTGTCGTAAACAGTTGTCTGCAGGTAACGTTTTCTAAGATGTGCATCTGGTATACAGTTGTACCAACTCTCTCTCTCTCTCTCTTTCACTTCCACTCTCTTAGAACACACCCGTGCATGTCTACAGCCGTCCAGGAGTCTCGGCCGTCGCCGCATTCTCCAAGATGTGATGCCTTAAATTTCCAGAAGGGGCAGCACCCTCATGTATCGCAGAGCAAATGCACTTCTTGATTAACAACTGCTACTAAGAGTAACGAGATTGGACTAAACAATTAGTATAATGACGAGACTGAAACACCGACTTGTAATGTGAGGGTTGTGTTTTTTTTTTTTTTCATTCAGTCCATCCAAACAGTTGATTTTCCTCAAAATCCTCAAAGCTTTCAATATTCAGCAGATTCTTTATCTCTGTCATTTGTCTTGATTGAACACTAATTTCAAAAACAGATGAAGTTGTTTAGTTGTTATTTTTTTTACAGACTGAAACAAAGACCACTATGGCAACTAATGTTAACTAGATCGAGTACAGTATGACGAAATGGAGGGCTTGCCTTTGACCAAATATGGCCTCAATACTAATGTTTGTTTGTTTGTTTTTAAATATAGGTGTGATTGGAGTTTCAAGTTCAACCTCAGCTTCTTCCATGTACCAGGATGAGTGATTATTTCTTAGCTTATGTTTGTATGTTGGATTGATTCATCTCTCTCCAAAAAAAGATCCAAATCAGCTATTCTGTTAGTCTTCTTTTAACATTCACATGTGATTCAATGTGTGACATATTCAGCATTAATCTCCGATCAGGTTGTAAAATACATTGATTTTTTTATGTAGTGTTGGCACATGCCAACTGCAAGAAGCAGTATTTTTATTTTTCACTGCAGGCAATCATAAGCGTTGGCTTGTTTTCCTCACGATTGACTGAACCTCAAAAATCATTGCATTCTTCATGAGAAGAACTTTCAAACTGAAATGATTTTTCAGTTTGATCTGGAGGTGTTTGTGGGCGGATGCATATCCTGTCAGTAATGCAGTTTACAAAAAGGACACAATTACTTTCACTTCATCAAAAAGTCAATAGTGCCTTTTTGTACTAAATACAAATATAAATAAATTAACCTGAAACTCAAAAATCATTGATTAACTTCTCTTTAGTGGAAAAGAGAAACTTTGTTGATTTATATCGTGGTCTATCAGTTAACGTAGGGTTAATGTGGCTAAGTAGCATTAAAAAAACAGCGACTACATCCTCATCCGAATCAAAAAACACAACCACTAATTCCCTCCTATTCTGGTTTTCTTTCAGACTGACTAGAAATGTAGTTTAGGGCTTTCATGTTTGTCCATTCTATGCAGAGAAAAAGACCCTCGACTAAATGCAGTTTATTGTGTCACTGTGTAATATACACTGTATGACCTGTTGTGTGTTTGCTAACTCTTCAAAGTGTAAAAAATATATTTTATATGAATATTTAAAATCAGATTTTGTATTTAGTGCCTGTATTAAATCAAAGCTTAATAGCACCTTTCATGTCTCATTCTTTTGTTTGAAGACATCTTTGTTTTCTTCAACGCTGTATGAGAAGAGAAAACTAAAATGCCAGTTATCTCATCTAGCTCATCTATAGTAAGTTGCCATTTCAGTTTTTAAAGTTGCTTAGAGTTCCCTCAATGCCAACCAAAACACAGATTAATAAACCATAAGACCTTATTTAGTTGAGGAATGAAGACAGGGGTCCTTTGGTTATAGCTCACCTCTTTTTATGCCTGATTATTTTGTGTTTTTGTAAAAGTCTGACGGAGTTCACAAAAAACTGGGACACTTTTTAACGGGTCAAAATGATCATAAAAAATACATTTTAAAATGTAGATGACTATAATAGTCTTTTGTTTTTACACCCGTTGTATCAGTAGGTTTTGTAGTTTTAAGCTTTTGTATGATTTTGACACATTTTTAAATAGTTTATAAATGTGTGTCTTGGACAAGGGTGCTTTCTGTCAAAGGTCAGGTTTAGACTTAAAAAGAAAATAAATCAGAACCAAAATTAGGTATTTCAAATTGGTTTCATATATAAAAATCTCTAAAAAAGAGATTTTCATAATAAGTGTATTTGTAAGTGATATTTTTAATCTTGTTTGCCAGGGACATGATTTTTCCCAATTCTCAAGAATGGGTGTTATTCAAAGTTTAAGAAGAAGCTAATCTTGCATACCCATTGTGGTCAGGTTGGTTTTAGCTCATTCGCTGGTATCAGGTAGAAAAGCAGCCTGTGCTGTGCTTACCCTCAAAGGAGCACACCAACACTCACAGCGACACGATCATAGTGTGTGTACACCCTCCTGCAGCCTGCACTCCAAACCTACAGATAAGACGACTGAGATGAATCCTGAAGGTGTTCCACTGCAGGGGAAGGGATATGAAGGATATCCAGGATATCCAGGACAGCCTGGATATCCAGGACAGCCTACAGTGGTTCATCCCACCACTGTGAACATCGTCACTGAGCCCCCCAAAGACCACATCATCTGGTCCCTCTGCTGCTTCGTCTACTCAAACCCCTTCTACCTCGGACTGTTGGCTCTCATCTACTCCATCAAGGTCAGTTTAAAAACATCAGTTAAGACTCGCTGATGAACAAAATAACTCGGTCTTTGACATTGAAAAAGCATAAAATGTTCATGAACAATACCAGGAGAAGAATTTTCTTCTCCTGGTTTTTGCAGAAAACTTGAGTGAAGTTCTTAAATTTCAAAAACATGTAAAAGTATTGTTAAAAGCTTCGCTTTATTTGAAGGGTCTTTTTGGAGATTTTTTCAATTTGAAATTCCAATCTATCAGTGAGTAAGAAAAAAAAGACTCATCATTGAAAGGATGACAGGTTTGAGATGAAGACCATTTTCGCTTCATTATACAATCATTCAATCATCCGTAAATATTTACATTATCTTGACAAAGATGTAAAAAATAAACATGTTCAACTTCGTTTTTTTCTTGAAGATAAACAATTTACTGAACATAATGAGAGGTGCTTCTGTCGTTTCAGTCCAGAGATCGGAAGATGGTTGGTGATCTGGAGGGGGCTCGACAGTATGGAAGAACCGCCTGCACCTTCAACATTGTATCTTCTATTTTTGATTGGCACAGGGGTCCTAATCTCCATTATTGTGTTCATTATGGAAAATCTGAAAAAATGAATATAATCGTTATGATTATGGTTATTATAGAAACGGATAGAAAATGAACTGTAAAATCATTTTGGTTAACTGAAACTAAAATAAAAACAAGGCTTTGCAAAATAAAAACTATAACTTGCCTACCTTTTAACCACTTATGAACCAATATGCAGTCTGCGATCCTCTGGCAGAGCCCTACCGGCTGTTCCAGGCTAAAAACTAAAGGGGACAGGGCCTTTGCTGTCAGAGCCCCCAGACTTTGGGGACAGCCTGCCAGAGGAGATCAGACTTGCAGATTCAGTCCCTTGTTTTACATCTCTACTCAAGACATTCTTTTATAAAAATGCTTTTACTCTGTGATATCGTTAATTGTTTTTATTTTTCATTTTATTAGTCTGATTTCGTTGTCTGCTTGTTTACGCTCTGCCTGTTGCTTTAATTGTCTCTGCTTTTATTTTCTGTTGCAAAGCACTTTGCTACTTGTATAGAAAAGTGCTATACAAATAAAGTATTATTATTATTATTACCTGAATCTGTATCGTGTGTTTACAAAACTAAATAAAAATTACATTATAGACAAAGTGTCCTTTGTCTTTGTGTTTGACACGAGCATACTGACTGATATGCCGTTTATGTTTTGTCTCAGGCGTGTCTGGATGAGCATGTTCATGCAGAAGTTAAAACGGTTTTCCATATTTTTTTTTAAGATATATTATATCCTTTAGACTCTAAAGGATATGTCAAAGTCAAAGTCCTATTGGGTCGGGGGCCGGATTTGTCCAAATGAGACCTCAAGTGGGCCGGACTCATTTTGCCGACATCACTATAACTCAACACATGGATATATAGGCTAATGTATGATTGTATAGAAAACTTTAACATTAACATTAAGCAGAGGGGTTAACTCTGTCATTGCAAACTGCATGTTGGCACATGGAAATATTTAAATGTACCACATTACAGAAGAAAACATCAATAATTATGTTTTGATTGAGATTATTATATTATGTTTAAATATTGCTGTTCAAGGTTATAGACACTTTGACACCTTATTCTACCTGCCCTGGTCTCAGTGCATTAGAGAGAGAGAGAGAGAGAGAGAGAGAGAGAGAGAGAGAGACAGACAGAGACTTTAGATCTGTGTGTGTCAGGCCACAGCACAGTTTGCACTCGTTAAGGTTCATTACAGATAAAACCTGCTCACGTGAATAAGTTGTCACAAACAAACAGAGTGTCTTTGATGCATCTTCGGGTCTTTAAGTATGAGGCATTATAAAATGATAACATGTTTCCAAACGAACTGACTTGTGTGGAGTGCACGTTCTTCAACTAAGTAGACTCAGTTAAACGACTTTTCATGAGTCTGGCAGTCCGTTCTTCTACGTGTCCGCAATATCGTGATCTAACTATGTCACTGACTTTTTATGCTCCATGAATCTCTGCCATCTCCGTGCGCAATTCAAGGAAGAATTTTAGCGCTGCTCCATGATTAAACCAGCGGACCTCTGTATGATCGGGCAGCCTGTGCGTGATATCGTCTTTGTATAAGAATGAAATGTTCAGTAATAGTTACATATTTACGGTCTGATGAAAGCTGGTGATAAAGGCGCAGCAGCAGGCTACTGCATTTAGAAGTGATTTCGCACTGAAACTTTTAGGTGATCAACACAACACGTTCACCTCTGGGTGCAGGGGCGGACTGGCCATCTGTGTGTTCTGGAGAATCACAGAACGGCCGGTACTCCAGCATGGCCGGCGGCCGCCACGCAGTCATCACCAGTTTTTTTTTTTCCTGCTAATTTACTGTTTCACACTCCAGTCCGGTAGGTGGAAACAATGCGTCTTTAAGTTGGATGCCAGCCGGCAGCTGCCTGTGCCCACCAGCTATAATCTAAAAGAAGTAGTATATAAATGCCGATCAGTAAAAAGTCCACGATTCAGACTGATGTCCACAACAAGCTTTAATCGTCACAGAAGATACATCATGGAGACACCGTGAAAACTAGAACAGACAAGACAGTTTTTAGCCTTCAGCTAAAATCACTTCATATGTCAAAAGTAAATTAAACATTACAATGTAAAACAATATTTACCGTGTTCGCCTGCTGACCAACGGTTAGAAATGAAAAGGAACGGGATAGAAAAGTTCTCGGCAGAACCCGCGATTTCTCTCTCTCTCTCGCTGCTGCACATAGTCTAGCTTTCCGGTCATGTGTCACTATGGCAACCTATTCAACTTAAACAGCGCCAGTTACACTCCCACCAA